TTTTTCCTACGACTTGCATTGAAAATGACATATGTCGTACAATTATGTTTACCTGAAAATTGACAATTTCGTTCACTTATGGCAAAATGTAACGGAAAACAAAACGCACGCATGCGATTTGCTTTCTCATAAGATCTACCATATATTAGAAAACAAATCGCATGATACGTTTTGCTTTCGTAGTAGTCTAATCTTCTTGTAACATCAACGTAGTAGGCGTACGTCAAACTTTAAAATTGCGATTAGTTTATTCTTGAGTTTATTCCCTTGTGCTACGCATTTAATTCCTTACTTAATTTTAATGGCGAAAAGTGATTCTTCCATGTATGTAGAGCGTACTCCACCCAACACCGGGGAAGAGGCAAAATCCACTACACTCGAATTATTACCAACTAAATTGCGGCTGAGGTATGAAAAGTAGCGTACGTCTAATAATATTAGTAAATGTCTTGCAGAAGCTCCAAACGACAAGTACCTCTTTGCTAAAGTAGTTATAACAATAGTTCGTTAAAGAGAAATTGAATCTATTTCGTATTTTTAGATAGTTTTAGTAGTTGGTTCGAAATAAAATAACTTTTGTTTCATTATGTAAGTAGATTTTTGGTTGTATGGAGAGTCGTAGGAAAAATAGTGTACATGACTCGTTTGAAAGCCACTTTTCACACTCGTGTGATTGCCATACGAGGCTTCGCCTCGTATGGCAAACTTCACATCTCGTGTGAAAAGTATCGCTTTCAACACTCGTTATGTAATATACTATTGCTGTTCTGTTTTCAGATCGGTAAGTAATTTTGGCGTCGTCGTAATCATAGCAACTGGTAAATTCCACTTACTGTCATGGAAACACACATGGTAAATAGTCAGAAATGACCGATCGCGCAAAAAAAAATTTAAATTTTCATAGATATAAGGCACAACATTGAAAAGATCTAGAGATCGTTCCACAACTAAAAGATAGTGAAAAGCGCGTCGGTAATTCGCAATTGCGCGAAATAATGCATGATTTCGAGTTTAGACTAACATTTCAGGTTTCTTGATGTGGTGTATATGGTTTATAAAAATAAAAACGTGACGCCGCTACGGATGTGCACCCCAAGGACGTGTTCGGTTTTGGGCGGTAAACCGATAAATAAAAACAGACAGCAAAATCAGGTTGGTATGACTAAATGCACGGTTAAGGAAAAATGAGCAAAAATAGTAATTCATAATTTATATCATATAAATTTGATTGTATTTCATGTATGTTTGATAAGTTGCGGCATATATTTACTTAAAATGATCTTATAGACAGTATTAAAAGTATTTAATTTCAAACAATTCAGGGCAACCAACACTACCGCATTGAAAATTTAAACGTCAACGGACGAGTTGGCCTTTTGTTAACCTAAAATTTATTATTTTCATAGTTAAGGTCATTATTACGTTTTGGTGTTGTGCTTTAAAGTTTAAATGTAGTTTACAAAAAGAACGGAAAGTAAGTGGACTTTTCTCTTTAATGTATTAATAGATTTGGTATAATTGTGCTTGGTACATTGCTTACATTCAACAAGTGGGTAAACACATCTGTACTTAATGGTTAAGCCGAGGGTTAAGCATTATTCTACTACTAACACGAAATTTTTACTCCAGATCAGTATAATAGCTGCCTCATTATTATAACATAATTTATGAAATCGTTACTGGCATCTTTGACTTCCATTGCGGTGGCGTAAGGTCGTCTATACGTTTATTCAAAAACGCCACTCGTGTGCTCATGTTTTGTACGGTTTCCTCCATGTGAGCCTGCCTTCGCAATTGTATCTGTGGCATTAACGATTCCACTTTCGCAACACGACTTTCCATATTTTTTATTTTTTGTCGCACTGCATCTAAATACGCATCTTGCAAATTAACAGTCGATCGTGCTAAAATTGCAAATAAAGGGATATGTTTTCTAAAATGTCTACTTACTTGTGTCTTGTATTTTCGCAATGTCGATAATGAAAAAACTGTAAAAAGTGTGTAATAAATGAGGCGATTCTAGTGTTTTACTTATCTGATGAATTCACCTCTGTTAAATTGGTCAAAGGAACCAGAATTAGATTTTGATTACGTATTTTGATCACTTTATCATCCTCTTCCTTTAAACCAAAGTAACTGTATAGAAACTGCCTCAAGGAATTGTAATCGAGATTCGGATTGATATCGATTTGCTTCACCTCAAATTCCGGCTTGTCTAAATGTGCATAATGTATAAAAATACGAAACTGAAACAAGTGTGTTTTGTACCGTTAAGATCAAATCTTCGAATTTTAATATTCACTTTGAACGTATCTGTCATTTTTACGTCTTTTGTTTACAATTTTTATCACCAAACCAAAGATTTGAATTGACATAAGGTAAAGTCATGTTTACATAGGCATATTGTTGATAGGACTGGTATACACTGTATAAGACACATCATTTGTGATGAGTGCATGCGCAATTGCAACTGATACTGTTGTATTGCGCCGTCTACCATCTTATTGTACGATTTTGAGATTTTAAAGCCGTAGTGCACCATTCTAAATTGCACGTATTTTCATGAATTTGGAAGAAAAATTCAGATTTCATTGTGCATTGTCACCGTGAATTTTCACATTCAATTTTACATAAATTGAAAGAATAGGTTTTGCTTTATTTCTGAAGGTCATTGTCATGAATTTTTAGATTTGTGTAGTACAGTTCATTTACCTGTAGTTGGCAAAACGCAACCATTGGTAGAAGTGTAAAAATAAATTTGTAACTTGTTCTCCGGCTTACTTTTTTTTATTTATTATATTATAAAAATGTGAAATCAAGACCACACAAAAATATTCATACAATTGTATGAACATGAACGAATGAATGCAGGCTGCCGATTCGGCTTGTTTTAATCAGTTAATTTATAACCTAACCTAACTTCCAGTTTAATTTACATGAAAATGGGCTGCAATCTATCTGAAGTTATTAATTTCCCAGAAATTCAACAATATTGAAAAAAATGTTAACGTGTATTCTCACATATGTTACATCAATGTTTACATGCATTTTACGTGTATTTTACATGTAAAAATTAAAGTGTCTATTGCGGGTTCAAAAAATTTGTTTGTATTTATTTTCTTAGTCCTCATGTCCTTACGTACTTATCGAATTGGTTTCGTGATTCAGATTAATACTAGAGGCACTGGTGTAGTTTACAAATGACGGGTATAGGTGGTAGCGTTTGTAAACATTGGGTTATTTTTACAGGTGCAATTGTACTAATTTTTTGATAACCCCTTAATCCTATCCTACCTGAAAGGCCTTTTTCTAAAGGACTCGAGGCTGTCTTGAATTAGCTTGAAGACGCAATTAACTTAATTCCTAATTACAAATAAAGATCACAGTTTATCATTCAATTTCTAGCGCAATCGTACGACTTTACAACAACTCGCCGACATTCCCGTGCGTCGATTATGCTTTAAAACAGTCTTATTATTCGTACGCCATCCGTTTATGACGAAAAAGTTTGTTGATGTTGAACATTTACGTTTCCGTTGGTCGGTTATTAACAAGTAAGCTATGTTTGGTATATTAACAGTTCTTCACGGTGATAATCAAATGGCATAGTGTTCTTACTTTCATACATTCTCTACGTACTGGAGATCACGGTCGGTACAGTACAAAATAAAATACCTTGTAAACGTACGACGGATTGCTATGAACCTTGACAATCAGCTTTACGGATCAACGCAACGGATGAACTGCCATCTATGAACCCACCATAACGTACTGTACCTGAGAATATACTGAGTGAATTTTTTTAATGAATAGTATGGTAATTTCGGAAAGTATTAAACTTAAATTTAATCATGTGATTAACACTATTAACGACAAACTAAAACGGTCTTTAAATAGATTGATTTATAACAATTTAATATTTATCACTTACTTGCAGTCACATTTATAACACGAGTGCTAATTTCATTATTTATCACTTCGACGTCAATGTTAACCCTAAGTGAGAACAATCATTTTTACATAAAACAATAACAAAAGTGTATCAGCTTTAACGAAATTAAAATAGCCCCGCGTTAGAACATCTGGTAGTGGTTTATGGGATAAGTGGGTATGGATCACTTCATTTAACCCGGCCCCCAACTGGAATGAATTCCAGGGAAGTAGTGTGGCAACCACTACGCTTCAAAGCTTCCCATTGTTACCCCAGGTACTAATTTTTAACGAGGCTGACGCGGCCTCGAGGTGGAAAAACATTAAAGGCTGTTTGTTGACGGGCCCAGGATTCGACCCCGGCACCTTCGTGTTTGTAAGTTAGTGTTCATATCACTAACCTATCGCTTCCTCAAATAACAAACCTTAATTTTGAATTAATTATTATAGACCGGCTATGATGTTATACGGGTAAGTGGAACGAATCGAAGCCACCGTAATATAGAAAGCATATATATATAAGGGATAGAAAGCCACACACATGCCCCCACTTCCCTAGTGCTACGTCACTTGCAGATGTGTTCCACACTGACTCCCTGTACTGCGCAAACGCAAGCGCGCTAAAATTTGGATTTGCTTTAACGTGCCACCGTTTGTTTTGTTTATAATACCAGTTTCTGCTGACTTCCATATTACAAACCAAATGTCGCTGTATTTTCGGAAAGAATACAGGGTGATTCCTATAGTACCTGCCACCGTTTGGGAGCGTGTAGGTGGTGCGTAGGGGAGTATTTTGATATAGGACACTTGGGGTCGGAAATCTAAAATAAGGGTGCCAGAGCGAAATTTACCTTCTGGAATTTCGCGCCTGTAGGTAGGCAACCCAACCGGCCGGCGGTGCACACGGAGCGATCTCAGGCGGCGATGTGTGGCTGACCCTTGATCAGAATTTTGTTTAAACCCACGAAATCCCGTCTGCAACGACGCGTATCAAGTGAATAAACACTATGGCAATAGTATAATAATAGTTGGCTAGATGTAGGAAGTGCATTGAGAACAACGGTGGCCACGTTGAACACTTGTAAACGTTATTGCTTTTGACTGTCGTTTTCTCTCCTTCCCTCCCATGTCGCTTCCTCGCGCTAACTCGCTCTGCATCGCTCCGCGCGAAACGTCGGTCGGTTGGGTTGCCTACATACAGGCGTGAAATTCCAGAAGATAAATTTGGTTCTGGCGCCCTTATTTTAGATTTCCGAACCCAAGTGTCCTATATCAAAATACTCCCCTAGGCACCCCCTATACGCTCCCAAACGGTGGCAGGTACTATAGGAATCACCCTGTATGTTCTTCTTCTCGAATTAAAGCCTTCGGTCACTACTGTGAATTCCAGTTAAATACATTATAGCGCCAACTTGAAAGAAAACCTCTACTTTAGCTATCAGTCATGATCCTTGTAGTCTGGTTTTTTGAGATTCGTTCAGCACCGGACTTTCTCTTTACCATAGGTCAATGTTGGTCTGTAACGTTATTGCTGTAAGTAAATGTCATTAACTCTTTCTAATTAACTATTACTGTACATACTTACCGAAGCAGTTTCCTAATATCGCCTTTGGCATATTCTTCCAAATGTAGATAACAACAAAATTCATCTTGATAACATGGCATTTATTCCTTGATGTACCCATTGATTGTTATTTTAACTTGCAGCAGCGACTACATTTTGTTTTTAAAGAACAAAAAATGTGTTCAAAGTTTTTCGTCATGAATATAGGCAACACATGCAGCGTACAATTTAGATGCTAATATAACATCATAATTTTATTTTGGTTTTCCGTTTACATCTCCAGTTTTCACTGGGCCGATACAATTACAAAGTTTCTTTATAGAATCTTTCATCCCTTCTCTTTTATACACGTCCCCTAATTTGCATTTTTCTATATTGTTTACATGTAAAATTGATTCGAATTGTATGATAAAACCGTAAACTGTCAATTACTTCTTGTGTATCTACTCGTATTTCACAGCCTACTGATTTGTTTAAAATGTTACGCAAAAAGAACTCAGGTCTAGCCTGGTTAACTAATCGCACGGATTAAAATCAAGTAACGATTATTGTCTGTGTCTGGTGAGGATGCTCTTCGGCAGAATTTGCATAACATTGGTTTCGCATATTAATGAGAAACCTGAAACCTAATTTGCAAATTCGTGTTTAAATCGAAGAATGTATTTTATTTTATTTACAATCGAGCGGTTCACATATTTCCAAAAATTTAAATTTTTCACTCAAATCATACATTATTTTAATCTTATGCCCAAATGAAAGATGTCATTTACTCGTTGTCTGCATACTCTGAGCAATGCGAGCGTTTTTTAGCGCATTTTTGCAAATTTATTTGGCTGGCTGGCAGCAAATATGGGCGCGGAGAAGAACTCTTGTAGAAAGGCAACGGGTGTACGTGTATCTACAAGGCCGTGTAATTTGTCAACCTTAGGGACAGGGCTACATGATGTGGGGTTGGCGACATCTGGACGTCATCCTCGAGCGTAGTTTACTGACATGAAGGTTTTTCAGTTTTTTCCTATCTTCTACTACAGTTTTTGTCCGATTCTTTTCAAATTGGTGTCGTCGGAAAGATGTTGTAAACGCGCGGCGGAATTTTGTTTTTTGTCCTAGGGGCGAAATTAACGACCTTTTGCAAGGCGCGCGCGCGCGTCTTCGAGAGGTAGTCAACTTCGGGCGCCTTTTATCTTCCGTTGCGAATTTTGTCACGCGGTTTAACGTTTCGTAAATCTCGAATCGTTGTCTCTCTTTCTCGTGTCGCCAATAGAAGCTCGAGCAATGAGAAGTGCCCCAAAAATTAAGTAGGTACTATCTTGTGGAAGGTTTTTAGCGAAATCCACCAAAATGTGGGTACCCTACCAGCCGACCATACATATCGGATTTTTAAACTAAACAAACCATTTTTTTTCAAGATGTACAAGAGTGAGAGAAACAATAAATAAGAAATAATAACACGTATTGTTGGGGTCAGATCACCTGTGTTTGATGATGCCGCAAATCGAGCCGCAAATGTTCCTGGAAGTGGGAAATGTGGCACTGGTCTTCCATCATCAGGGTGTACACCATTAAATACGGAGAGAATTAGAGCCGTGTTGAAAAGTAAACTACACACATCAGTTCGCCATTTTTCCGACCGAACAACTTTCCATTGCACTCAAGATGATGACCGAATATTATGATGACCGGATTTAAGCAGAAATATAGACATTTCCTATCATCTTAGATTAACTCCATCTGACTTTTTTTTTCTGTGGCCACAAAAAATTCAATATTTTCCAGTTTGGTCAACAATCAAATCAAATGCTTCTAAATCTATTAAAATCTGTTAGAAGTAGTGTTCTAAACCCTTTAAATCCCACACTCCATTATCACATTATTCACCTACCCCTATAATTAATCCTATAATAAACATCCTAATCAAATCTAAATAGCAAAAACACACCTTAACAAATCTTAGCAAACATCTACGTCTAAACTTCCTACAAATTCCTGTAACCACTAACTTCAACAATGCAAACTTCTTTTCTAAAAAATTAATGCTAAGGCCCCTACCTACCTAACTCAAATTACCATTATTTTCTTGTCTCTTTTTAAGTTCCCCTCAGGGCACGAATGGATTCCGACCCAAACAATAAGCTTAACATTGATATCAAACTCTTACACTTTGAAAATTACGAAGACCTCAATCAAAATCCGCAAATTCCAGGATTTTGTTTCTGATTCTGATTATCACTACCTAATAGTGAAATAAAATGGAATGACTTATGATAATCCCCGCCCATCTGCCAATCCGCTAACTTATACAAGGCAGTATAGGAGCAATATACCATAAAAACTGCTACTTTTATTAAGTAATAGTATATTAAGTGTGTGTTAAACTCGAGGGTGCATCCGTGTGATTAGGACGCACTTTAGTCCTGTGGTATATATGCTATTTTTTGTACTTTGGTAATCAGCTACTGCAATTTCAATATTAAAGTCTAAATTTGAAAGAAAAAAATTGTTTGATTGCCGAATAAGAATAATTTTACATACAGGATGGCTCGCTCTCATCTTTGGCATTGCTTCAACCTAGGGAAACGACACCCCCCTGTAATTTACACAGCAATATTTTTTGAAATTTTAACTACAGATGTTTGTAGTAAAGTCAAACATATCGCATATTGTAAACAGAGATGTACGCATGTGAAGTCTACTCAATGCCAACTTTCTTATTTATGAAGATAATTCTTCGAAATTTTAACCATAGCAGCTTTTAGTAAAGAAAAACATATCGCATATAGTAAAAATCAGACGTGTACATGCGCAGATTGCGCAATGCCAATTTTTTTATTTATCTACGGAGACATGTTTTTTGAAATTTTAACCACAGACACTTTTCTGAACGACAAACATATTGTATATACTATAGCATAAATCAAATATCCGCTGTTTAACCATAAAAATGCTTGTGTCCATCTTTCGGGAAGTATACTGATCTATGCATGGAAAATGCACTAAAGTTACTCCTCTTAGGACGAAAATCTGAAATGTTGGTAATTTTTCAATTACATATGTTTTACAAATGCAACAACGTAATAATATTTTACATATAAGTACATCCTTATTTAAATAGAGAAACTTTCACTTAATAAGTGAATATTTTTGATTTTCAGAAATCGGTGAGGGGAACCAACAATGGGGAAAAGTAGGCAGGTGCCCAAGATATGCGTTATGTGTAGAATCGACGTAAACGATGAAATAAAATTTGGAAAATTATATAAATTGAAAAACGTCTGGGTCCATTATTATTGTTTGTTGCTAAGCGAAACCATCACCCAATCTGGAGAAGATGAAGAAGGCATTTTGGGTTTCCTGCATTCAGATATTACTAAAGAAGTAGGACGATCGAAATCAAAAAAATGTTGTTATTGTAATAAAATGAACGCTTCATTAGGTTGTGTGCATAGGCATTGTAATCGGAAATTTCACATGTATTGCGGTTATTTAAATAATGCGATGTTTCATTTTACAAAGTTCACTACTCATTGCAATTTGCACACGAAACCTTCAAATTTACCAGCATCTATTAAGAAATCGCTGAAAGATTATTATTGTTTGATATGTTTAGATGATTTTCATGAAAAGACGAAGCCGTCTCAGGTTTATTGGGCTAGCTGTTGTAAGTCGCGAGTTCTTTTGCACATTGATTGTTTAAGGCAAATGGCGCTTAATGCTGGATATTTTACAAAGTGCCCTGGTTGCAATAACAACACAGATTTTATCGAATCGATTCGAATGTGGGGAGTTTTCGTGCCAGAACAAGACGCCTCGTGGGAACTAGATCGCAATGCTTTCTCTGATTTGCTATACGTTCATGACACCTGCGACTCTCTCAAATGTCTTTGTCCAGATGGAAGAAATTTTAGTACCGACAAAGGAAAGTGGAAATTGATATTATGCAAGACTTGTGGCTCTGTTGGAACTCATGTAGGTTGCACAGAATTTAAGCGACGATTTTTGTGTGACGTTTGCACATTGAGCGGAGAGGAAAATACCACAATCGACGATCCACCCCAACCGGAGCAAACCAATGAAGATGAATTTATAGACATAGAAATTTTAGATCGAGATTATTTCACTGATTGCGAAGACAACAACTCATCCTTTCAAGATGATTGCGAGAACGTAGAACCATTACCAAACCCTAACAGAACAGAAGAAAAAAAAACAACTAACCCTGAAAGAGGTGTATCTGAACAAAACGTTCGAAAGAGATCCTTTCAGGATATAACAAATAGTGGCGATCAAGAAGTAAATGTAAGCTTTGCTAAAAAATTCAAAGACAACAATGTAAGTCACGAAGAAATCGAACATTTGACTACAATTGAGGAAAATTCATTGTCCTTACTACAACATACGGAAACTCTTGAACCTGAAACTGAAATAACAGCTCAACAAATACCATTGGATGATGACAGTGAGGTTGAATTTGTTAGTTATACGCAAGTAGTAGACAGTTCGCCTAAAATACCACTGCATGCAAATAGTGTCGAATTATTCTTAAATAGTGTCATTTCTAAACCCCCATGTTTACAGAAACGTAATTTTCTTAAAATTTGTGAATCGCCACATAAGGTCAAAAGGAATCGCAAGTCAAAGCTAAATCGTTCTTTAAACCAGATAAAAAATGAAAAGAAATCTGTTCAACTCAGCTTAGAAAACTTCATTACAAGAACTAAAGTATGATTAAACAGATTTATGGGGTTTCATAAGTATTTAATAACTTGTGGCTTTAATATACAACATAGACGATAGATTAAAATGCATGTACAGAAGTCGTAGATTGTAGTATTTTATTTTATCTACTGATAAAAACTATGTTAGTGTTATTTTTAATTATTTTAGGTAAACCTAATAGTGAATTATGAAGTGGAAGTGATGTACAGATTTACTGTATATGTGAGTTATACATTTGCTAAAATGTATTCTTGACCACGTACATCTCTATATTTAAGTGCATTTGTTGCATATTCAAGTTAAAAAAAATTTAATTGGTTAAATTTCTATTCCATCTGTTCTTCACAAACAAATATTTCAAGTCGTCCAAATTTTATTGTTTATTGTATTTGTTACTGTTACCGCGTCTGTAAAATTGATTTTAAGAATGTATTACAAGCATTTCTGTATAATTTTATAAAGTGTTTTTATAATAAAAGTAAAGCAAAGATTGTATTGTATTTTTCAGACAGTTGAATAATCTAATAATAATCTGGGACAATGGAATTTGTGGTTAGTTTAGTACAGAGGGATGTGGTTGTAAACACTATTCCGTCAGTTGTGAAGATGTGCAATCTGCATTTAGAAATAAAATTGTCAAATGAGTAATTGATCCGCCGTATTTAATACGTTCTTTTTATATTGATAATGCAAAATACATCATTATATCTTGTTAATAATTTTAATTTCATTTCTTTATTTAAAATGATTTGACATATTTTAAATGTGGTGCGCTTTCTTTTCTTTTTGTTCCCACTGGTATACTAAATTAATCTACATAAAAGTTATCTATAAAAAAGGTTCTACTTATACATTTTTTTGCTAGGATCAATGCTCAAGGAGATATGGAGGTGGGAGGGGGTGTACAATTTTAGAAAGTTTTAAAAAAAAAAAAAGAAATGTTTTAAGTTAAATATAACATGTTTATTGTTAAAAATGAAGTGATTAGTGAATTAATTATGTATCTTGACAATTAAATAATTAATTTTTCAACAATAACAAGTTTGCTGAAGTGGTTTTCGCAACTAGAGAGCAACACGTTGATTTTCGGGTATCAAGGCAAACAAGAGATTCACGAGATCGAGCTAAGATTCACGAATGGTTCAATGACCATCCCCCTTTTCCGAAGTTGGATTCGCTAATGTCGCTGTCATCGGGCATCTTGGGAAGTTCCAAAATAAACTGCCACCAAGCCCTCGATATTGGAACCAAAACAATGCAAAGTTTTATTGGCAGCAAATTCGGTGACATGAAGCAATCTAAAAAGAATGTGGTTTTGTCAATAGCCAGTATAAGTAACACTGTAAAAATTAATGGTGAGAAAGTGCGAGTATTAACCCCCTGACAATTTTTCAACGAACTGTCATAGTAAAAAAGAACGACAGCGATGTAGCAGAGCTTTTAGCATATGAATTAACTCCATACCCCTTGGTTCTGTTCAACGAAGGCGGAATGCGAAAAGGGAAAAAATCAGCCCTCTATGATGTTTTGCCGGCAGAGGACAACGCAACCCTCGATCTCACCCAGAGCACCGTTGTAGTAGATGGCGGTTTCCTCCTCCACCGTGTGAAGTGGAAACAGTCCTCCAACATTTTATCAATTTCCCAACAGTACATTGCCTATGCACAAAAACATTACGGTGAAAATTGTATGGTGGTTTTTTATGGTTATAGTCATGTCGACAGCACAAAACGAGCGGAGCAGAAGCGAAGAGGGATCTCAAAAACTTCTGTTGACATCAACTTTCAAGAAAACACGACCATCACAGTTCAACAAGAGCATTTTCTTGCTAATGAAAGAAACAAAACAAGGCTGATTCACCTTGCTCAGTGAGAAAATGACAGCAGCAGGAAACTACTATAGCTACAGGGGATGCTGACGGCACTATTGTGAGGTGCGGGTTGGATAAAGCTGCTGTACATCCAACTGCAGTAATAGTTGGGGAGGATGTGGACTTGATAGTTCTCCTCATTGGGTTGGCACCACAATCAACCAATATATACTTCATGAAGCCAGGCCGTGGTAATGTGGAGACCAAATTGTTTTCAGTGCGGCAACTTCAACAACATCCGGTCGCCAAAACGATTCTCCTTCTCCATAGCTTCTCCGGATGCGACACTACCTCGGCGGTACATGGGAAGAGTAAAGTGGGAATAGCTAAGCTTTTCAAGGAAAATCCTGGCCTTACTCAAGACATGTCCACAATATTTAAAGATCCCTCAACATCACCTGAGGATATTGAAGAGGCTGGTGAGAAACTTTTCCTGGCTATATACAAAGCGCCTGCTCATCAAAATAATCTAAACGAACTTAGATACTCAGCATTTTTAAAAGCTGCAATGAAGCCCAAGTCAGATATGGCCACTCTTCCGCCTACCAAAGGAGCTTCAAAGCAACACTCGCTCAGAGCATACCTACAGGTAAATCCATTTACTTGTATCTTAAAATACCTAATGCTTTCTTTAAATTACAAATATTAATTTGTGATGAATTCTTACGTTGGTCTCATTACTTTCTTACAGATACAACAGTGGCTCGGAAACCCCCTACCCCCCATACAATGGGGTTGGGTCAAGGGAAAAGATGGTATCCTTAACCCAGTTTACACGAAAGACCCTGTGGCACCCGAATCCATTCTGAAAATGATCTTTTGTCGATGCATGACTGGGTGTGGGGTGCGCTGCGGTTGCCGAAAGGCAGGGATTACCTGCTCCGGTGCCTGTGGATGCCTCGGCTCATGTACGAACGGAGCCCCCGTCGAAGAAAGCATCGATGAAGATTTAGATTTTGACGAAATTTAATTGTCAAGATATATATAATAATAATTCATTCACTAATTACTTCATTTTCAGCAATGAACATATTATTTTTAACTTAAAACTTTAACTTAAAACTTTTTTTTTTAAATTTTACACCCCCTCTCACCTCCATATATCTCCTTGAGCATTGATCCTAGCAAAAAAGTGGGCATTATTTTACGAGTTATTGACAAAAAACTGAAAAATAGGACCTTTAGACACCCCCTACACCCTTAGCTCCACCCTCACCCCCCAGGACTTTTAGTATGTTGTTAAGAACACCTTCCTCTACAAGTGTGCAAAAATTGGCTTCTACATGAATTATTTCCGCTATTTGGTATTTTTTGGTCTTCGTTGCTTGGACTATTAGCACGCTGGTCATTTCAAAATTATATGAATATAAGTAAGAAAATTTTTGGAGGAGAATTATAATATAGTGCTCTCCCTCCCCCGATTGTTTGGCCGTCTCGTAGAAGAAAACAATTTTCGAATTAAATTTTAAGCATCTAGGGATCAGTCCTGCTTGTCTGCCAACTAATTGATGACATAATTTTAGTTTAGAAAAATCAAAGGTGTCTTAAAAATTTTTCTTAAAACGTTTTTTTGCATACCAGTAAAGTGCTCTTTGGGGACGAGGTACTCAAAAATGTTATTAAGAGAAGTTGTTCAGAATAAAAAACTGAGTTTATCTAAAAATTTCAAAGTCGTAGGCCTACTTTGATGTTTTTATTCTTTAACAGTATTTTTTGAGGAAGTCCAAAAATATTACTAAAAAAAATTTCAAATAGAACGTAGTTAATGAGTAGAAAAGTGGAATCCGATAGGAAAGAATCCCTAAGAATATGAATGTGTTGAAAAACGCAATATTATCAATCAACATCGAGAGATTCTTATAAAAAATTTAAATCATATTGTGAACTATAGGAAGTGATTTGAATGTATGTATGTAAGTTGTATACAGGGTGGAACCTCTCAAGTTTGAGGCATATCGGGCGATCAAAAATGCGTGACTGTCGAGTCACCTTTGGAAGTTAAGTACTAAAGTCACTAAATATAGAAAGTACCGCAATCCATTGGGCTCGTGTGTTAGAGAGAGAACGCATGATTTTTGCCCAAAAATGGCGGAAGTTACCAGACTTTAATGTTAGGGATTGTTCCCCTGTTTGGAGATATCTGTATATATTTTTATAAAACATGACAGTACTATGAAGTTAGGTTATAAAAAATGACAGCTATTCAGATTTTATTTGTCAATTTTTTTAAGTTGGCAGCAAATTTGCCCAAAAATGGCGGATGATTGCGGTACTTTCTATATTTAGTGACTTTATTAAGTACGATTTCCCATGTAAACAAAAATTCTAAAAGTGACCTAATGGTCACTCGTTTTTTATCGCTATGTATGTATGCATTGTAGATATTCTATCATAGACAGATACTTTAGTCACATATTTGTGTTTACCATGAGCCGTGCCATGAGCTACATGTTATTTATCATAACTTAACCTCAATTTAATTTATAGTCGAGAGACTTAGTTGAATTAACGTAATATAACTTAGAATGCTTATTTGGTGTACAAAAATGTGATAAAAAGACCTTTTTATGTCACAATGACCATCTCTCTCCGAGCTTCAAAACTCGTACATTCAAAAATACCAAGTTTCAAACACTTCTTTATTGCTCTATTCGTAATTCTCCTGGTTTCAATAATAATTGCATTTGTAGTACAAAGTTGGTCATTCAATAACGATGGCTCTAAAACTTATCAGAAGTTGCAGCTGAAGAATGTACTAAACTTGCCCGAAGTGAAGCTTGTGGATGATAGTCCAAGCTCCAGGCCGCACAATTCCAAATGCACGTATTGGGATTGCTTCAACATTTACAGATGTGGAAGGACAGGTCATGATAGAATTGCGATTTATGTTTATCCTTTAAAGAAGTATGTGGATTCTAAAGGGGTGCCGATTGTTGAAGTTATGTCTAAAGAATATTATATGATATTACAAAGTATAATTGAATCGAAGTATTATACGGCTAACCCACAAGAAGCATGCTTGTTTGTTCCATCAATTGATACTTTAAATCAGGAAAGGATACAGGCTAATCTTACCTCAAGAGCACTGGAATCTTTAAAATAGTAAGTACAATCAATGTCTATTATTTGGAGTCTTTGGGATTGTGCTACGCTTTCTAATTTGTTCACAAAAAGATAATTTACATTAATTGTAAAAATGTAAAAATCAAGGGAGCTTCTGGCCCTTCGCGTACAACAAAAACCTTTACGGAGTCTAGCTCACACAGAAAATATTGCAGATTTTTTATCATACCAATAGTATAGCGGAATCTTAATATTCTATCTATGGTTTTCTTCTATCCGCCCTTTTTGAAAGATATGTTTCATTAGTAAATGAAAGTGGAGACTGCTGTACATTACAGTACTCTCCAAAGTACAAAGCTAGGAATAAAACTAAAAACCCCTTTGTGAGAAGACTATTTTTATGTGGTGATGTTAATAAAAATTGAATCGAATGTATTACTTAAGTGTTTTGTGTAAAATCTATTGTGTGCAGACTTGCCAAGTTGTGCTCTCGAGGTTTCATTAACAGAATATCGTAGAGCCTTTCTGGTAAGTGTTATCATCGAGTTATTCTGGAACCAATTAAATGGTATGAAAGCTATTTATGTACATATCAATTTTGTTAGGAAAACGCCAAAACTCGTTATGTGAATTTCATGCACTTTTGGTGACTACATGTATTTTAACCAAATGATCGAGTCATTATTGCAGTGCTTAATTTGAAGGCTTTCTGATCTGTGACATCAAAAATGCGCTGAAGTCTAACGATGGCACATCGTACTTTTAATAGCTTCGAAAAATATATTTTTTAAATATATATACCTCGATATATACTTACAGTATGGTGCAAATGGGAGGAATAAATTTATTATTTCTAAATAAATTCAGTAACTGCAACGAAATGCGTAAAAATAACATCCCTAAATTAATATTAATACCCTTAAAGTGAGGGTCAGGGGCGGATTTAGGAAGGGATTTTAAGGGCTGTTCAAGAAAGGTTCAAGATCTCCCCATAGAATATAATTGAAATTCTTAAGGTTTGTTACATAAGTGTAGGTGTAAGATTCAATACATGCTCAAACACTCGCTCAAATATGAAAAATTAAACTTAAGTAAGCTAACTAAGTGAATTTACCTAAGGGGAATAACTTAAAATGACAATACGATTACATGTCTGAAGGACTAGAAAAATTTGTATGTAATTGTTGCTTTTGTTTATTGTCACTTTAAATTATTCCCCTTAGATAAGTTGACTTAGTTAGCTACTTCAGTTTAATTTTTTATGTTTTAGCATGTATTAAATGTTACACCTTTGAAAATGGGACCGGATTTAGTTTTGAAACATGTGTAATTTATGTAACAAACTTTAAGAATTTCAATAATTTTAAGTGAGTGACGTATGTAAACCGTCAAAATAAATACAAATTTTGAAATCACAACAGGTTAATTAGTACTTAAAATAATTTTGTAACGTAAATTTCATTACATGGTTTTTTATTTACAATTAACCTAACAATAAATTTATAACAGTCTTAAAATGGGTTAATTTATAACAGTTATTATTTATCACCCACAATTTATAACATAACACACGCGCATCGAAACTGGCTCAAAACACAATTCGGTTTGTTTAGTGCTTTAGGACGCTTCCGAATGTTCTAGAATAAACACGTTATATTTTTCGGAAAGATTGCGTCACATCCGCTTTTTTTTATTTATCACCGATAATTTATCTTTCATGGCGCATCGATGTCAATCGGGGTTTCTGGAATATTCGCTACAATATTAATTTTCGGCTTTCTTTAAGTACTCACTTAAGTAAGTGTGGTAAAGACTGTCACTGAAAATAAAATTTTACTATCTTGCACTTTTCCTAATTGATTTTTTGTTTTTAAAAAATTTGGTTCTGATCAGTTGACGACGCGGTTGACGAGTTAAGAAATAATGAATTTATTCCATCCATTTGTACCATACTGTATTAAATACAATAGATTACATTATCTTTTCAGTTGGCGAGATGGTGAAAATCATTTATTTTTTAATATGATATCCGGTACCGCTCCTGATTTTTCGACTGTCTTAGAAATAAATACAGGAGATGCTATTATAGCTGCAGCTGGATTTAATACTCACACATATAGAGTTGGATTTGATATCTCTATACCAATTTTTAGCCCGATTGCGAGCCTTGCGGAAATAACCTTCATCAATAACTTGAGGTAAATATTTACCTTCATAAATTAATCTTTGATAAATTAACTTCAGGCCATGGTTTGTTATTTCATCACAAATAAACATAGATTCGTATTTTTTGGATGAATTACAAGACATGCAGCTACACAATTCGGGGTTGCTGATAGTGGATGCTTGCCAAGTTCATAACTATTCGAAACGTTGCGAGTATGGTTCACATCAACAGTTTTTGTATCCGCAAATTTTACAGAAGGGCACATTTTGTTTGGTGTTCAGAGGCGAACGAATGAGTCAATTGGTTCTACTTGAAGCACTGGCTGCTAATTGCATTCCTGTAGTTGTAATGGATGAAGTGGTAATGCCGTTTGGCAATGTAATAGATTGGAAGCGCGCAGCTGTATTTATTATGGAAGATTATTTGAATACACTCCTTGACGTGTTGAAAAAAATTTCGGAAGAGCGCATCGAAATTATGCGAAAGCAAGTTAAGTTTCTATATGACAAATATTTTTCGAGTTTAAAACGCATTGTGGAGACAACCTTCGATATTGTACAAGATCGCGTTTATCCCAATTGGGGGAGAACGTATGACGACTGGAACTTACGCCCCGACGAACTAATTAAAAGTCCACTATTTCTCCCTATCACAGCTCCTAGATCTCAAGGATTTACTGCAGCTATTTTAACGTATGACAGAGTAGAAAGTTTATTCATTTTAATAGAAAAGTTATCCAAAGTACCTAGTTTGTCTAAAGTGGTAGTCATTTGGAACAATCAAAAGAAGTCGCCGCCTCCTATGCCCAGTTTTCCTCAAATTTCGAAACCAATTAAAGTAATTAGGACGAAAGCAAATAAACTTTCAAACCGTTTCTTTCCGTATGAAGAAATCGAGACTGAAGCTATACTGACTATTGATGACGATATTGTTATGTTAACAGCAGATGAACTGGAATTCGGTTATGAGGTGTGGCGAGAATTTCCAGACAGAATAGTTGGTTTGTATTGTGTAACGTTATTTGTTCGCCGGTTTCATGCTTAATCTAGGATTTCCTTCAAGAACTCATGTTTGGGATAACGTCACTTTAAGTTGGAAGTATGAATCAGAATGGACAAATGAAATATCTATGGTCTTAACTGGTGCAGCATTCCATCATAAGTATTGGAGTTATTTGTATACAACCACAATGCCGGCGGATGTACGAGATTGGGTGGATGAGCACATGAATTGTGAAGACATAGCGATGAACTTTTTGGTGGCAAATGTAACCAATAAACCACCAATTAAGGTAATTAGCGAATGGAATCATAAAATGATGCAATTCATATACATGTTTTTACTTTCAGGTTGCACCTAGAAAGAAATTTAAATGCCCACAATGTGTGAATAATGAAATGTTATCAGCAGATATGGGCCATATGGTAGAAAGGTCACAATGTGTAGATAGGTTTACCAAAGCGTTTGGAAGAATGCCATTAAAGTCAGTTGAATTTCGCGCAGATCCTGTACTGTATAAGGATGCATTCCCCGAGAAGCTCAAACGATTCAATGACATTGGCAGCTTATAGTTAAATTTTAACTAGATATAGGTAGATGTGGGAATACTCACCAAATGAATGATGGTTAAGTTGATGGTATTGAATTGTGGCTCTTGGGGTCTTATAGACGAGAGTATTAGAGAAAAATTGCTAACAACAATGGTGTCAGAAGAAAATGTAATTTTATGAAATTATATTGTGTTCTTCTATATGCAACTAGTTTGTTCTAAAGTTATGGATAAGATAATATCTGAGTTGTAGATCCATTAACTGTCTCCCAACACATTTAGTTGATCCTATCTTTTTTAAGCGTTTTGTGTTTCTAGCGTCCAAAATGTTGAATCCATCTTAAATTTTTGTTTCTCCAAGATTGTGGTGTGAATGTCGTTGTATCTCGCTAGGTTGAGGCGTTTTTGCATTTCGGTGACTGTCCAAGAGTGTATAGTGTGGCGCGAAACTCGTTTAAATTGACTTGCTTTCATAGTCTCCATGGCGTTTGGACGTTCTACTTCCCCATGGTGGATGCAGGGTACGGCGCTCTCCATTTCGGGTATTTCACGCCCCTGTTTTTTAAAAAGGTCTTGAACTCCTCGGCGGTGAACGGCCTACCATTGTCAGATACTACAGGACTACTGTCGTGAGCAGTAAATAGATCATCTGTCACTGCAATAATGGCTACTGACACCCTCAACCTAGTAGGCATATTCCATGATGAGCAACATTGTATCCACAACTAGGCTAGCGTAGTCGTAGAAACGTTTCCCATGGTGCCTTCCAGTACCTACTCCTACTGGTGGTTACAACATTTTTTAGGTGTATGCATATCGGCTTCACAACCCACACAATACAATGTCTTTTCAATGGACGTCCATATTTGATCCATTTTGGGTTACGATGTCCATGTGGCACAAGTGTACGTACAGTGGACGTCCATTGATTCTCATGGAATATTTAACAGATGAGCCATAAAATAATTAGATTTTACGTTCATTTGCCACGTTCCAATTACGGCGCGCATGAATTCGAATACATCTACACGGGGATGCGCAGTGTTACAATATCAGCAACTTATTTATGTGATAACCGTTTATTAAGATAAGAACGCGAATACATATGTTTATTCGAATATTTCTCTCAGATGTAATAAATCCCAATGAGGTACAGCGAAAATTGCATTGTAGAAAGCGAATGAGCCCTGCGAGAATTGCACTGTCCATAACCATGGCAACTGGCAACTCCTTTGGACAGTTTCATAATACACCGACAATTTATAAGTACGTAACGTCCATTTGACAAATAATGTTTATTTGTAACTCAGTTGTAAACGTTGATTAACAAGACAAAACGGAAACGGGTAAACGTCATGTTTAAACGCTACTGACTTGTAAAACTGACAGCTGACCTGTAAAAATTTTACAAGTTAGTAATCTAGTAATTTCATTGGCCAGAATAATTAATGCGAAGTCTGTTACATGGATAACATGATATTTTAGACATTTCTTCGAGATCAATTTAAGAACTAATTATTTACGTTTACTATTGTTTACAAATGAGTAACAAATAAAACATTGTACATTATACGCCAGGTAAGTTTTTACTGGCTCTAGGAGATGACAGACTCGCCTGACGGCTCGCCAGTCAACTTCTCCTATCGCCAGTAAAAACTCACTTACCTGGCTAATAATGTAAAATACTATTGTTCGGGAAATTCTCCAAAATTACACTGGTGCATCAAAATAAACCCGATAATTTTTTATTCAAGCATGTTGTCAGTAAAAAACTGCATTGGGTCATTTTCATATTTTGTTAAAAGATCCCTTCGGTGTCGGGCTCTTTCGCCAAAATATGAAAATAAACTCATACAGTTTTTAGACAACATGCTTTCAAAAAAATTAAGAGTAATTACTTACGATAACGCGCCAATATACTCGTAGGTACAACTACAGTGACTTTATAAGGCCAGTGGCGACAACTTATCATAATCCGCCATATTGGAGCTAAAAAATTGATTGTAGGATCAATATACCTTATCATGTCAAATTGTGACCATAGAATAATAAATGTCAGTTTTATTTAAGTAAAGATTCTCGTTCTAAACTAACGGCGCATAAATGATCGTTTAAAGCTTTGCAGAACAACCTATGGGAAAACCACTGCCTCCCAAATTGTAAAGATACCTATATGGAAAACAGTATAATAAGTATAAAATAAAATATGGTGCAATATCCAAAATGTACATATAAAGGTAACCATTAATCATGAAATTGTGTTTTACATTTCAGTGTCTTCTGTCACTTCTTGTCCCTTTTCGCGTGTTTCTCCTTCCGGGATAAAAAGTATTACTTTAGTCCGGAAAATAAAACACGTTGATCTAGTCCACGGAGTACAAGAGATCAATCTTCCTTGTGCTTCAGCAGTCATCAATGTTAAACATTAAACCAATTCAAGCGTACTTATGATCACAACCATCCAACAACATCCATAACCATAATTGAATTTGTTGCTAAATTTCGGATAAGCTACTTCTCTAGCTCTCCAGTTTTATATCTAAACTCATTAGGTATTTACCGACAATCACAGTCACAGGTGACACTGTCAAAACAGTATAATTAATAATTATAGCACGGAGTGTACCGCGTCGTTTTGGAAGCTTTCTATTGGTCAGTTTGGAATTTAGCTCCAATATGGCGACCGGAACCAAGACCAACGACCAATCAAAAACGAGATACCCTGTTGTCGCCACTGTCTCTATAAAGTCACTGTAGGTACAACAAGAAGGTTAAAATAAAACAGGAAAATCATACTCGATTTTTACTATATCAGGAACAAGTTTACTTGAACATGAATTATATCAACGATACTTACGCTAATATTTTACGATAAACCAAGACAAGACCTAATCTAATTTATTTAATTTATTTTTGACCTTTATCTTTGAGTGCGCGAGGCTTCAGCTCAGGCTGCTCTGCCATCCCACTTGCAGATGTGTTCCACACTGACTCTTTGTACTGCGCAAACGCAAGCGCGCTAAAATTTGAATTTGTGTACAGCTGTCAAGGTGTGTAAGGAGTAAATAATATACACAGAATAAGACCGTATTCTGTGATAATATACACATAACCTGCAAACGTTATAATTGAAGATAATTTAGCTTACCTGCTTACCTATTATATGTAGTAGGTATATGAAAATGCCATGTTATCAAGATGAATTTTGTTGTTATCTACATTTGGAAGAATATGCCAAAGGCGATATTAGGAAACTGCTTCGGTAAGTACAGTAATAGTTAATTAGAAAGAGTTAATGACATTTACTTACAGCAATAACGTTATACAGACCAACATTGACCTATGGTAAAGAGAGAGTCCGGTGCTGAACGAATCTCAAAAAAACCAGACTACAAGGATCTTGACTGATAGCTAAAGTAGAGGTTTGCTTTCAAGTTGGCGCTATAATGTATTTAACTGGAATTCACAGTAGTGACCGAGAAGAAGAACATATTCTTTCCGAGAATACAGCGACATTTGGTTTGTAATATGGAAGTCAGCAGGAACTGGTATTATAAACAAAACAAACGGTGGCACGTTAAAGCAAATTCAAATTTTAGCGCGCTTGCGTTTGCGCAGTACAGGGAGTCAGTGTGGAACACATCTGCAAGTTGCCATCCCACCCCACTACTGCAGTGGCGTACCGTCGGTCATTGGTGTCCAGGGCGGAATATAAACTTGCCGCCCTAATGAGAAAGGCGAGGGGAGTAAAGGTTAAGTTTTAATGTTAGTTTTTTGTTTGAAATAAATCTATCAAAGATAATCGAAATTTTACTATTATTATGTCTAAACCTAAAATAATGAAAACTGCAATATCACTAAAAATTTATTTGAATACCATATTATGTATATCAAGTTTTATAAACGACTCTTTAGACATACCTACGCTCGTGTTTAATAACGAGTGTCTAAAGAAGTTTATAAAACGCGTTACATACTATACTTTTTCTACGAGAATTGTTGAAAAAGTACCTACACAAGCATAATGTCCTCGGAAAAGGATCCTACACGGTTGTGTTTTCGCCATTCATCGAAAATATAAGCTCTCTCATATACTGATACCTTGATTTCTCAGGTAAGAAGAAATTCCTGATGACTTCTGTTGCCGCTTGCGTTATTTCAGGAGGACCAGTAATAACATTTTTCTCTTCATTATCATTCTCTGTGTCCATTTTTGAAAAGAAGGAGTTTCCCTTACGATGAATGTCAAAATGACAAAGTTGGGCATGTTATCAATATGATTATTATTTTTGTCGCCCCTTTTACAGTGCCGCCCTGGACGGACCGCTCCTCCGCCCCCCCCCCCTGTCGGTACGCCACTACTACTACGTTCACCTATTTTTGAAAATTCATTAGAATCAGGAAATATTGGTCTTTTTCTTTCTTTTAACATCTGGCTAAGTACTTGCTCTGCTTCATTTAAACTGTCTAAAAATATTGTAATGAATGTGTACACGACTTTTCCCCCCGCCACATATTTGTAATATCTCATTACGGACCTATTCTTGAATTTCTGGTGATCATTAATAAGATCAATTGTTTAATCGTCTAAATATACCAATTGGGTTTGTTGCCTTGTAAGAGCAGTTGGTAATTTGGAAAACAAGGAAAAATGTATTGACAAAGCTTTCGTTTATCAAAAATGCTTTCAAAACAAATTGGAGTAGCTGCAGAAGTTTGCTAAGAAAGACAAATTACCTACATTACGTTTGAGTTTCACGGAAAATTTAAAAATGTACACGTAAATTTCCCATTTTCCACTGTGTAATTTCTGATAAATGGCAAATAAAATTAATCGTGTTCTAAATAACCTAACCCTATTAAAACACTATAAATGCCATAAAATATCGATGTGTAGATATGCACTTCTTGGGCGATAATTAATTTCTAATAAATATATTGTCGTCAAAAAGGATACTTCACAGAGAACAACTTTCTCAAAACAGCCCCTAATAAAAATAATACCTACACATAAGGTATGTTCCTATTTTACTACAAATGACAATAAGAAAGACGTAATTTATATTAGATATTATGTAAATATTTTGATTTTAACATGTAGAAGCAATAATGAAGTCCTTCCCAGGCAATTTTAATTACGATTTCTGGTTCGCATTTAACTAAATTAGGAGTTGACTAGCTCTCGTTGCTAATAATAGGTAGGTTGTAGTGTGTGACAAATTAAATTAATAACTAGGAACTGGACAAATACTACAAATGTATAAAATTGGCAATAATAGTGACCGGGTGGCGTAGACTAGTTTTTTCGCGGGAAACAACGACCACGTATGGACTAAACAATGTCCTGCGGTCAAAGGACTCGCTACAACCAGTACTCACTACTATTGTTTACTTTTATTTGTCGCATAAATAAATGCAACCTGTTTATATGACTCACAACTGATCTGATCGATTTTTTGCCTATCAATTGCGACTTGTTTGAAACTTGATGGATATAAATAAAACAGGATAAGTAATGTTTAAAATTAAGTGTATCGTACATCGCGCAATTTTATGACAACTGTTCGAATTTTTTCCTACTTTAATGCTTTCTGCAAAAATGTACGATACAAGCAGCGAAAAACTAGAAATGTTCTTTATTTGGTATTTGATGAAGAAAAGTGTGAATCGTGCAAACATTTTGGTACATTGTTTGACAAATGTGTGGCGGTAAATCTATTACTGACAATCACTGTACTCGTACCTATTATGCACAATTGCACATACGCAACTTTTTCTTGCATTTTTGTTCCTATTTTAGTTATACATACCTACACCAAAAATGTAGATACTTACGATAAGCTGTTCACTCAGCATCAAAAAGATTATTTCAAAGTTTACTCTTTAGATGGGTTCTATTACAGGAGTGCTCATTCTGGCACACACCTCGTATTCATCTATACCTTTGAATATAAAATTATATTCAAAGTCTATACATATATCATTAATTTAATGAACATAACATATTAAATTTCCGCGGTTTTTCAAAAACCTTGAAATTGAACTCTAAGCACATTAACAAAATTATTGGTACTAATTTTTTTGTAAAGAGAAATCTTAATAATTATCAAAAACGATTTTAAAATGTGCGGCGTTTGAAAAGGTCCCGAAAGACCGCTAGGTGGCTGTGACGTCACCGCTGCACCGTAGTATTGCTTACAATGGATCCAGCAAAAAAGGAAAAAGCGCCGAATAAGTATTGCATTGCCTGGGTGTGTTAACAGCAGTAATCGCGAACCTAATAAGGTGTCCGAACAGGGAATATACGAAAAAAGTGGTTACAACAAATCTCGTTGTAATTCTGTATTTTCCGAAACTTGGCACTTTATTTCCACAACAAAGTCCGGAACAATACCATTATTGAGTATTGTGGATTTAATAATAAGCCACAATATCCATTCAATCCAAAAACTAATTTTGAACTGGATATTTTACATTTACTCAAATATTCCAAATTTCAGTAAAAACCATGCGGGGGTAATTTTATTTTGCACATACGATAAGAATACATTTGGATGCTTATTTACGAGCCCCTAGCGAGTTCATGATTTTGCAGTTTCTGTCTATTCGGCCGTCTGTCCGTCTGCGGACAAAATAACTCCCGAACGGTTTCGAATTTTCCAATTCTGTTTTCAGTATTTTGTTTATCATCATTCATCACCCAAAGTCCAAGGAAGATCTGATTAAACGTTCAGTGACCCAGGAGCCCGTTTGCTATATTTGTTACAAGTTTATTTAGAGCTAGTGTACGGGTGTATGGGTACAATTTATGTTAAAAATTCATATTTTTCAAAATCTAAATTTCTAATTATCATGCTGCGATATTTATTCCAAAACTTATCTGGAACTGAAAAGACCATTTGATACAACAAGAATTGGCGAAAAAATTGCGTTTCAAGTAAATAAACGGAATAATACCTAAAATTTAATTACGACTATATGAACTAGAACTGTTACTTATGTGTGCAAATTGGAATTTTTGAATTTTGGAAATTGGGAAGGGTTTCAGTTCGAAATTGGCACCGCATGATTTGCGATTGTACTCGTATGTTACTCCTTAGTGAAAAATAAAATTTTTGAAATTTATCAAGGAGTAGTAGTAGTGTAGTAGCACGTAGAACCTTGGTCGAGGACACAAGTTTTCGCAAATTGAAATTTCTTGTTATTTTCTATTAGGTATCGTAAGTTGGTATATTAATAGTCTTTGAATTCAGTTTTTTGAAAATATATTTTATAAATGGTTTACAAATGGTAAAACGGTTTATAAATGGTCGAGATGCGAAAAGGGTACTGTGAATTTTGAATCGATTCGACTCAACTTTTGGCATTGCGTATTACATAGCTAAAGCTATTCCCATATTGAATTTCATACAATTCAGTTCATAACTAACGGAGATGTCAAAGCGATCGGACATGTCTAAACAAAGTTATCGTTCACACGGACAGGTAGAGGGACAGACAAACAAAGGAACAGACGGACAGACCAACAGACATACGACCGACAGCAATACAAAATTATAAACGATCTCTAGGATCGTTAATAAACGGCAAAAGTGTAAAATTATCAGTGGCGGCTCGTGGACTTTGAGTATGGGGGGCGCGAAGATATATTTGTATACATTATTAAATGCGGCGATGGCAAAAGGAGGGGGTTGAGACCACTTTGCGCAAATTTTTTTAAAATTTTCAAGGTCACGCGTTTTCCTGGCACTTCTGAATTTCAATTAAAAATTATTTTATACAAAAATATAGACATTCATAATACGAATTTTTTAGATATAAAAAATCTCAATCTCATTCATGTGAAAACTCGATACAAATCAACGTAACACCGGACACTGCCGCGTTCCAGCCGCTAAAGATGTGCGGCCAAAGGCTAATTTAAAAGAACAGACTCAAAGTAGTGCAGTGCGCATGCTACTATCTGTTGTCATGGCAACGCCGGCCGCGAAGTTGATGCGGCCGAGCACGCGCGCCGTGTGCCCTTGAATGACAGCGAGAGCGTGTGGCTGTCGCTGGTCATTGTGTGCATTCAAATAACAAATAAGAAATCTTCAATCTAGTTTATTTTAGTTTTCGTAGAATTTGTTACGATCCACAATAAGTCTACGATTATTATTACATTATGATTATAATTAAGTATAGGACATTGAATTAATTCTTGCGAAGTTAAGACAGTGAAACAAAAAACAAATTCTTTTTTCTGTTTTCTGTGATTTTTTCAGGAGGGGCGCGCGGCCATGCGGCCCTTGGTAGTAGCCGCCCCTGAAAATTATGGAACATGTAAAAAACGGTTTGTTGGTTTTTTTACAATAACTTTATTAGCAGACAAAATTCCTTGCTTGGTGCAAGCCTCGAGACCATAACGAACCAAATAGCGAAAAAAGTAGAACAATAGCTCTTAAGATAAAGAACTAGTAGCGCCTCAACGAACGAGCGGACGGACGGACGGACCACGTGCCCACAATAGCGCATTTTTTTTATTTTTGTGGAAATGCGCTAAAAATGCGAAAAACTTTGGGAGTAAGTCGGCGCACAAATGACATAAAAAATTAAATTAGCATTAGCGGAGTAATGATTTTAATTTAATTTTTAATTTAATAACCGACGGACTCGAGCGCCACCAAGGTGGCCTCGCCCCTGGTCAAGGTCGTCGGCGGTAGCAGCGCTTTGACGGATCGGTCTCGGAAACCTCGCGCAAACTCAACC